TGAGTCGCCCCTGATTCATGGCTGTTGTTAGCGATCGTTGAGTCGCCCGATTCATGGCTGTTGTTGTTAGCGATCATTGAGTCGCCCCTGATTGATGGATTGATGGCTGTTGTTGGGTGCCATTGAGTCGATTCTGACTTATAGTGACCCTATAGGGCAGAGTAGAACTGTCCCATAGGGTTTCCAAGGCTGTAATTTTTACGGGAGCAGATTGCTAGGTCTTTCTCCTGTGGAGCCACTGGTGGGTTCAAACCGCTGACTCAGGGTAACCCCTTGCAAAACAGAATGAAATGCTGCCTGGTCCTGTGCCATCCTCATGATTGGTTGTGGATTGGACCATTGTCATCCATAGGGTTTTCTTTGGCTGATTTTCAAAAGATCACCAGGCCTTTCTTCCTAGTCCATCTTAGTCAGGAAGCTCTGCTGAAACATGTTCAGCATCACAGCAACACACAAGATTCCGTGACAGACGGGTGGTGGCTGTGTATGAGGTGCACTGGCTGGGAATTGACCTGTCTCTCCTGTATGGAAAGGAAGAATTCTACAATCTCTGTTGGTTCATTACTTCATTTATTCATTCTGTGGTGTCATGGGCTCAGGGCTCTGACACACATTGCCACGAACTCGTTTCCATGAGTAACTCTTCTTGTGACCTTGAGTAAGTTACTTGCCCCCTCTGGGCCTCATGCAGGTTGTTATAAAGATAATTTGGACATGTTGTCAGGAGGGACCAGTCCCTGGAGAACGGCATCATGCTTGCTAAAGTAGAGGGTCAGCAAAAAAGAGGAAGACCCTCAACGAGATGGATTGACACAGTGGCTGCAACAATGGGCTCAAGCATAACAATGATTGTGAGGATGGCACGGGGCCGGGCAGTGTTTCATTCTGTCGTACATAGGGTTTCTGTGAGTCAGAACTGACTCGATGGCACCTGACAACAACAACAACAACAAGTGATCCATGGATGTTGACTTCTTGTCCTGTGTCTGGCACCTTGTAAGAACTCAACGAGTGGTTGCCATTGCTATTGGTAGTTTCACTTTTCATTTACCTCTTTGTTAATCCATTTATTCAATAAACACCAGCTGATTTCCTGTTGTGTGCCAGGTGCCAGTACACAGGCTGAAGGAGGTGTGGTCCCTGTCCCCAGGGAACTCATGCTGTAGTTCCTTTTGTCATTTATGCTGACTTCAGCCCCTGGAGACAAGTACTGTTTAGCAGAGGTGGGAGATGAGGAGCAGAGCGTGACTGCCTGAGGTCACATGACAGCATTGGAACTGGACCTGCAGCTTCTGGCTCCTTCCACTTCTGAGACTGCAGGGCCTGCTGGGGCATCTCTGCTGCGATAAGAAAAAAACGAGATAAAATGAAAGATTATAAAAAGATAAAGACCAGAGACAAGAAAACGATACAAGACTGTTGGAAAAGTCATATTTCTCAGAAAATAATTAAGTACAAAGACAGAAACAGAGGAGAAAGAAGGATAAACATAGAGATAGTGTAGACCAGAAGAAGTGTAATCAGTGATGTAGGAGGAAAGGCAGGGCAGATTATTCAATAGGCAAGGTAAGCACGATGCTTACCTTGCTTACCAGATCATCTGTAGTGAATGATTTCACATTTTTTCACCACATCAAAGATTCTGCTTCTGGGTATGGCTGGCATCTGTCTCTCTCCCAACCCCACAGCACCCTCCTACAGAGTCAAAGCCTCTTTTCAAATTTACAGTCCCTGACGGGTAGATGACCCAGTAAGCAAGGTAAGCATGGGCTTACTTGATGTGGTGAAACCCATGTGGAGTTGCTCACTGCAGATTTGGAAGTAAGCACAAGTAAGTCCTTGCTTACCATACTTACTAGGTCATCTGCCCCTGAAAAGGAGACTGAGTGTCTGAATTTCTTGGGGCCACCACAATAAAATATCACAAAGTAGCTGTCCTGGAGAAGGATATCATGCTTGGTAGAGGGTCAGCAAAAAAGATGAAGACCCTCCATGAGATGGATTGACACAGTGGCTGCAACACTGGGCTCAAACATTGATTGTGAGAATGACGCAGGACTGGGCAGTGTTACGTTCTGTAGTACGTAGCGTTGCTGTGATGGTTAAGATTGTGAGTCATCTTGGCTGGGCTGGATTCTCAGTGTTTATATATGATCACTCCCATGATTGAATATGCTGTGAGTAGTCAATCAGTGGAAAGGGAGTTTCCTTAGGGATGTGGCCTGCATCTGAATATAAGCAGACGTTCTGGTTTTTTACTTACTCTGCATCCTCTGGCTGCCTCCTATTCATCTGACCTCCAGTTCTTGGGACTTGAACTATCAGCTTATCTGCTGAACTTGGGATTCATGGACCTTCACAGTCTGTAAGCCGAGCCCTGCTCTCTGACCTGCTGATCTTGGGATCGCCAACCCATGCAGCTACGTAAATCAGGAGAAACTTTGCGGTCTTGCCTGCTGATCTTGAAATTTGTTGATCTTCACAGCCTGTGAGTGGGAACCCTCCTCTCCGACTTGCTGATCTTGGGGTCACCAGCTTCTGCAGCTGCATGAATTGGGAGAGGCGTCTACCCTGATCCATGGACTTGGGATGGTCTAGCCTCTACAATCACAGGAACTGTTTCCTTGATATAAATCTCTCTCTAGATATATTTATATGCTTTACTGGTTTTGCTTCTCTAGAGAACCCAGCCTAAGACAGTCACTATGAGTTGGAACTGACTCGATGGCACCTAACAACAACAGCAACAGATGCCTTTAAAGAAAAGAAATTTATTGTCTTAAAGTTCTGGAGACCCGGAGTCCAAGTCAGGGTGTCGGCCATGTTGATTTCTTCTGAGGGCTTTGAGAGAGGACCTGTTCCATGCTTCTGGTGGCTGCTGGCGGTCCTTGGTGTTCCTTTGCTGCTTGCAGGTGTAACTTCATGTGGTGTCTTCCCATGTATGATCGTCTCTGTGCCTGTCCTCTTCTATAAGACACCGCTCAGGAGGGATAAGGACCCGGCCTATCCAGTATGACCTGGTTAACCGATAGTGTCTTCAAAGAAAGACCTTATTTCTCCAAACAAGGTCACATTCATCTCATACAGGAGTTAGGACTTCAACATGTCACAATTTAATCCATAACACCAAGTAAGTTAAAATAAAAAATTAAGATAAGGCAATAGTTTGTAGTCGGAAGCCAAAATGAAACCAGAAACCTCCATCTCCTCACACAGAGCTCTAATGTGAAGCCCTGACGTACCCGGGTGGGACAACAGGAGGTGTAACTCTGGATGGGCAAACCTGGGCATGGGGCCCGGCCCCCTCACTCGCTCCAGTGTGACCTTCCTAGCTTCATCACACCCTGATGTTGCCCTGTCTATTAATTTGATTCCTTGTTTGTGTATGATATTGACTCTACTACCTCCAGCCTCCCCCCTGCCGCTGCCACCAGATTGTCAGTTCCACATGACCTCATCTGTCATATTCATGGCTGTGTCCCCAGAGCCAAAATTAGAGCCTGGCACATATCAGGTGCTCAGTAACTATTTGTTCCACCACACTTCCATCTGTTTGTTCGTACTGGGGTTGCTTACCTGTTGCTGTGATGCTGGAAGCTATACCACCGGTATTTCAAATACCAGCAGGGTCACCCATGGTGGACAAGTTTCAGCAGAACTTCCAGACTAAGACAGACGAGGAGGAAAGGCCTGGTGGTCTACTTCCCAAAGTTAGCCAGGGAAAATCCTATGGATCACAACAGAATATTATCTGATATAGTGCTAGAAGATGAGCCGCCTAGGTTGAAAGGCACTCAGAATACACGGTGGCCGCAACAATGGACTTGAGCATACCAACGATCACGAAGATGGCGCAGGACTGGGCAGCGTTTCGTTCTGTTGTACATGGGGTCGTCTTGAGTCGGAGCCAACTGGACGCAACTAACAACAACGTATGTCCTCAGTCACAGAATGTGAGAAGGCATTAGGATAGACCCATAGGGAGCTGGTGTTTGGGGGGAAGGGGTGCGCTGGAATGAAAGGGGAACCCACATAGTCCCAACAGAGTCCAGCAGTTCTCTCCACCTTACTTGACGGAAGCCGATGTTCAGGGAGTTCCAGGAACCAGCTCCAGGACGCACAGCTGGGAATCTTTGGGGTCAGCACGCAACACCGTCCTGCCTGACTCCAACCCCAAGTGTTTCACCACTTGGCCAAACTGTCAGTAATCTCCTTGGCTATTCGGGAAACTGGTGTTTGGACCCCACACATGCCTTCAGTAGAGAAGGAGAGGTCACGATTCTGCAGATCTTTCCCCCAAAGGGGCTGTAAGACCTCTGCAAGTCCCCACCCCCTCCTACAGCTCAAAGGCCTGTTGCAGCTCCAGACAAGGTGGGTTGGAAATTATCAAATGTAATCTGATGTATCAGAGACTCCAAAAACTGTTGACCAAAGCATTTCCTTTTCTTTTTTCTAGAACAGAACACAGCTCAAAGCCCTTTTCACCATCACAGCAGAGGAAAAGATAACGGTAAGGGTAAGATAGGACTTGCACACTGTCATTATGCCAGTGTGTCTTCTGTGCCTGTGGGGTGTGGGCCTCTTGCCTGTCCTCAGAGCCAAGGAGGGGGGCCGGCAGCTGGCCTTGGCACTACTGGCGAGTGTCAGGCTGTGGACTCTGTGCTGTCTTTCAGGTCCCCAGCGTGGCCTGAGGGGGTGTGGCTGGTTTACCATCGTCTGTACCCTAGTGGAGCTTCTAGGGGGTGCAAACTGTTAACACACTCAGCTGCTAACTGAAAGGTTAGAGGTCTGAGTACACCCAGAGGCACCTCAGAAGAAAGGTATGGCAATCCACTTTCGAAAAATCAGCCATTGAAAACCCTATGGAGTGCAGTTCTACTCTGGCACATGGGTGGGTTCAAACCTCTGACCTTTCAGTTAGCAGCCAAGTGCTTAACCACTGTACCACCAGAATTCCTTCCCCTAGAGTTCGTGCCCTGAATTCGGACTTCTAGCCTCCTGAACAACGAGAAAATAAGTTTCTGTTTGTGAGAGCCACCCACTTGTGGTATTTCTGTTATAGCAGCATTAGCTAACTAAGACAGATGGCTAGTGTGTCAGGGGTGCCCAAGACCACCCTGAGCCCTGGTGATTCTCTAGAACTCCCAGGACTCAGGAGATAGTCGTACTGGTGGCTGTGGTTTCTTACAGTGAGAGCATAGAGCAAGACCAGCACAGGGAAGAAGCGTGTGGGGCCGGGTCTGGGGAAACCAGGTGCGAGCACCCAGAATTCTCTCCCCGTGGAGTCACCCAGGACCGGCTGAACTCCCCCAGCAGCGAGCTGTGACAACACAAGTGAGATTCTCTACCAGGGAAGCTCGTTAGAGACTCAGTGCTCAGGGTTTTCACTGGGGGCTGGTCACGTAGACACCTCCTGCCTGGCACGTAGCAAGATTCCAAACTCCCAGAAGGAGAGCAGCTGTTTGGCATAAACCACGTTGTGTGTGCCAACAGTTTAGGCCAGTGAGCCACTCTTCTCAAAAAATGGTGGGGGAAAAAACATCAAACCAAACCTGCTGCTGTGGAGTCGATTCTGACTCATGGTGACCCCATGTGTTACAGAGTAGAACTGCTGTATAGGTTTTCTTGGCTGTGATCTTTACGGAAGCAAATTGCTAGGCCTTTCTTCTGTAGTGTCCCTGGGTAGGTTTGAACCACCAACCTTTAGGTGAGTAGCCAAGCGCAAACCATTTGTGCCACCCAGGGACCTGAAATGGTGGGAAACTTCCCCATGTCCAAGTTCTAGACATCAACCAGGGGTCAACCTTGCCAACAGGCGTTTTTAGGCATAGCAGGCTGTTATGGATTGAATTGTGTCCCCCCAGAATGTGTGTCAACTTGGGTAGGCCATGATTCCCAGTATTGTGTGGTTGTCCTCCATTTTGTGATGTGATGTAATTATCTTATGTGTTGTAAATCCTAACCTCAATGATGTAAATGAGGCAGGATTAGAGGCAGTTATGTTAATGAGGCAAGACTCAGTCCACAGGATTATGTTGTATCTTGAGTCAATCTCTTTTGAGATATAAAGAGAGAAGCAAGCAGAGAGGAGAGGGACCTCCTACCACCAAGCAAGAAGAGCCAGGAGATCAGCGCATCCTTTGGACCTGGGGCCCCTGCGCTGAGAAGCAACTAGACCAGTGAAGACTGATGTCAAGGACCTTCCCCAGGACCGACAGAGAGAGAAAGCCTTCTCCTGGAGCTGGCACCCTGAATTCGGACTTCTAGCCTCTTAAACTCTGAGAGAATAAATTTGTTTGTTAAAGCCACTCACTTGTGGTGTTTCTGTAATAGCAGCACTAGATGACCAAGACAGGCCAGCTGTGGGAACTCGACATGGCTGGTAAGTGTTAGAGCCAGGACTTGAACCCAGGCAGTTTGGCTCCAGAGCACCTGCTGTTGAGTAGTGGTCCACACTACTGCCTAGTGAGCCAGAGTCCTGAAGCAGAAGAGACAGAAATAAAGCCTGACTCTGGCACACAGTAAAACAATTGTCCTCACTGGTCTGTGGGGTCCCTGCTGGTGGGGCCACATCTGATACATCCCTGTGTCCCCACTGTGCCTCACCGCCAGGGACGAGTTATCCAGTAATCAAGGTATGCATGGGCTTCCTTGTGTTTACTTATTAATCTGTCGTGCACAGTTTCACCTGTTGTGCACCGCAGCTGTGCAATTGTGCACGACAGATTAGTAAGTAAACATAAGCAAGCCGTGCGTACCTTGCTTACTGGTTAACCCGCCCCTGCAGTAAATTACTGCAGTGACACTCAGCAGTTAAATGTCCCTTGATTGATCTGATTGTCACCTGTGATGGTGCTTGCTGCTCAGTGGAGGAGGTGGCAGGTGGCAGAGGGATAATAATAAAAGGCCAAGGGCATTCATAGAGCTGATATGTTCGAGCTGGTTCCCAGCCCTCTGCTGTGGATGGAGGTGAGCAGTACCCAGGTCCTCGGGGCTGCCCATGGCCCGTACATTGCCTTCAGGAGACACAAGGAAAGGGGTCCCCTCTGGGGTGCAGATCCAGGGGTGCAGGGCTTGGCAGTGGGACGAGGGCTGGATTTTAGTCCCCATTAGAAGCCTTTTGGAGGTCTGGTGGTGCAGTGGTTAAGAGCTCAGGCTGCTAACCAAAAAAAGGTCAGCAGTTTGAATCCACCAGCTGCTCCTTGGAAACCCTTTGGGGCAGTTCTACTCTGTCCTATAGAGTCGCTACGAGTCGGAATCGACTCAGTGGCAATGGGTTTGGTTTTTATTTTTTGGTTTAGGAGCCCTTCTCCAGGGACTGATCCGTCCTGATAAAATGTCCAAAGTATATGAGACGAAGTCTCGCCATCCTTGATTTGAAACTTTATCTCAAGTACTTTGGACATGTTATCAGGAAAGACCAGTCCCCGGAGAAGGACATCATGCTTGGTAAAGTAGAGGGTGATCGAAAAAGAGGAAGACCCTCAACGAGATGGACTGACTCAGTGGCTGCAACAATGGGCTCAAGCATAGCAATGATTGTGAGGATGACGCAGGACTGGGCAGTGTTTCGTTCTGTTGTACATGGGGTCGCTATGAGTTGGAACTGGCTTGACGGCACCCAAGAACAACAGAGCCTCGTGATGCAGTGGTTAAACTGCTCAGCTGCTAACACAAAGGTCAGCAGTTCTAACCTACCAGTCATACTGTCGGAGAAAGATGTGGCAGTCGGCTTCAGTAAAGATTCCCGAAAAAAAAAAAAAAAAACACCAAACCCACTGCTATTGAGTCAATTCTAAATCATAGTGACCCTGTAAGACAGAGTAGAAAGTGCCCCATAGGATTTCCAAGGCTATAATCTTTACAGAAGCAATCTTGCTCTTTCCACCTCTCATCCACACTGCAGCTGTCTTCCTTAAGACCCAAACCTACCTGCTCCCATTGTCTTGAGGGGCTCCCATTGTCTGCTGGATAAAGCCCAACACTCTCAGTGTAGTATTCAGGGTCCGTCAGGAAAGTTGACCCCACCGCCTGTCAGTCTTTCACACTGTGGTGGCTTGTGTGTTGCGAGGAAGAAAGGCCTGGTGATGTACTTCCAAAAATTAGCCGATGAAAACCGTATGAATCACAGCAGATCCGACTTCTTTGGACGTGTCATCAGGAGTGATCAATTGCTAGAGGAGGACATCATGTTGGGTGAAGTAGAGGGCCAGCGAGGGTGAGGGAGACCCTCAGTGAGATGGATGGGCACAGTCGGTGCAACAGTGGACTCAAACATACTGGCAATGGTGAGGATGATGCAGGACTGGGCAGCATTTTTGTTTTGTTGTACATGGAGTCGACATGAGTTGGAGTTGACTCGATGGCAGCCAGCAACTATCTCCTAGTGCCATTGGGTTTTCCTGTTTTACCTATTTCTCTGGTTTTGCACAGGCTGGTCTTTTCCTCCTTGCCTTCCGAATTCTCGAGCAACTCATAAAATCTCTCAGAACGCCATCTAACTTCTTCACTGTGATTCCCTAGCACTGCAGTTCTGCTAGGCGCCCCCTAGCTGACTGGTTGCGCCCTCTGCTGGGATCCTTGGCTCTGGACTCTCTGTGAAGCCCTTGTCATTCTCTATTGAGATTATTCTGGTTAGCACCTACCGCGCTATTGTTGACATCAGAATAGAATTTTTGTCTTGGAAGAGACTTTAAAGATGACCACGTTTTACGCAAATAACGTGCATCAGTGGCGCTCACGAAAATACCTTGCAGGGGGAGGGAATGGCCGACAAACATAGAAGGTTAGCGTTATTTGTGTAAAAATATGGTACCTAGTCCCACTTCCTTATTTTATAGAGTAAAAATCTCAGGTCCAGAGAGGCTCCAGGAACTGGCCAAGGTCCCACAGCTTGAGGACACCCTTGCAGAACAGAATAATGCTCTAAAAGTTGTCTAATCCAGCCTCATTCAATAGACTGGTAAATTAGCAAAGCTGAAAATCAGCCAGTGAGAACCCTACAAATCACAACAGAACATTGTCCAGTATAACGCTGGAAGATGAGCCCCTTAGGTTGAAAGGCACTCAAAATACAACGGGAAGAAGAGCTGTCTCCTCAAAGTAGAGTCGACCTTAATGACGCTGATGGAGTCAAGCTTTCAGAACCTTCATTTGCTGATGTGGCACGCCTCAAAATGAGAAGTAACAGCTGCAGACATCCATTAGTAATCAGAACGTGTGTGAAGATGGCACAGGACGGCAGCGTTTCCTTCTGTTGTACGTAAGGTCGCCATGAGTTGGAGCGAATCCACTGGCAGCTAGCACCACTGCCTGTGTGTGATTCCCTCTGATCTCTTACTCTTGCCCAAATTGCCAGCTGGGAGGCCAAGAGGCAGTCTGTTCTCAGCAATGCCCCTCAAGGGCTGTGGGACAAGTCACTGCCTTGTTCTTGGATATTTAGCTCAAAGTAAAGGATTTGAACTAAATTCTCCTAAAATCTCTTCCAGGGAAATCATCTTCCCTTTTCTT